TCCCATGGTGGGACATGGGTGGATGGGACTCCAATGACCTCCCCTTGGGGGGGTGGGGTGGATGGGACCCCAATAACCTTCCCTGGGAAGACATGGGTGGATGGGACCTCACTAACATTCCCTAGAGGAGCACAAGTAGATGGGACCTCAATGACCTCCCATGGTGGGACATGGGTGGATGGGACCCCAATGACCTCCCCTTGGGGGGGCAGGCATGGATGGAACCCCAAAACACCCCTCCAGGGGCACCCAGCTGTCCAGGACCCCAAAACCTCCCCCAGGGAGAACTGAGGGGGCCATGCCCCTTATTGTCACCCAAGAGAGGACCCAGGTGTCCAGGTGACCCCCCTCCCCCTGCCATGGGGGTCCCAGGTGGCTGGGGTACCTTGCTGAGCTGGGACATGACCTCCCAGAGGAGGGCGTGCAGGGTGGAGAGCTCGCGGCCCAGGTCGATGTAGCCCTCGAAGCTGGTGCTGTTGGTGAGGGTGTCCAGGTTGGAGATCTCGTAGAGGAACTGCTGCATGCTGGTCCACTCCAGCTCCAGGAACTCGTTCATGAAGGCCATGTACTCCTCCTTGCTGCCAAACCTGCGGGCAGGTGCTCAGCAGGGTCTGCGCTGGCCCCCGCAATGGCTGTTGTGCCCCCCACCGGCCTTGCCCACCACCCTCTGTCCATCCAGCTTCCAGGCGGCCCTTTGTAAAGCCAGGTCTGGCCTTCATCCAGCTCTGTTGTCTGTTTGTTCTCCATCCACCAATTTATCCACCCATCATCCTTCCTTCCTTCCATCCATCCATCCATAAATCCATTCATCCATCCATCCTTCTGCCCACCAAACTCATCCATCCAACTCATCAGTCCACCCAACTCATCCATCCCTCACAGCCATCGACTCATCTTCCCACCTTCCATCCATCTAGCCATCTTCTGGGCAGCCATCTTCCCTCCATCCACCACCTCCCACCCATCAGCTCACTCATTTTCCACCAACTCATCCACCTTCTGTTCATCTCCTATACTCATCTGTCCATCAACTCATCCGTCCATTTTCTATCTATCCATCTTCTGTCCATCCCTCAACTCATTCCTCCATCTTCTGTCCACACATTCACCTTCTGTCCATCTAGCCACCTTCCATCTATCCACACTCATCCACCCATTTTCTACCTTCTGTCCAGCCATCAACTCATCCCTTCATCTTCTGTCCGTCAACCCATCTATTTTACACCCATCATCTATCAACTCGCCCATCCCTCTTATCTCCATCTGTCCATCTCCCTTCCAACTCAGCCATCTGTCAACTCATCCATCTTCCACCCATCAGCCATCAACTCATCCATCCACCTTCTTGTCCATCTATCCATCTCCTGTCCATCCATCAACTCACCCATCCATCAACTCTCCATCCACCCATGGAATCCAGCCGTCCATCCACCCACAGACCTATGGATCCACCTTCCCTCCACCATCCCTCCATCCTCCTCCCCCCGCCTGACCACCGTCATCCACCACCCCCCCTCCCTCCTCCGTGCTGGCTGGGCGCTCACTTGGTGAAGTTGGCCAGGTTCTGGATGACCTTGGCGATGAGGGTGAGGGTACGGGCGGTTTGCTCGTCGGGGTACTCCTGCATGAGGCCGAAGAGGCTGGGGGACATCACGGCAGGGCAGAGGAACCGCAGGAAGAGGGAGGCGCTGATCAACCGGTCGGCGATGTCCTCGCGACCCCGCTCGGCACATCGCAGCCGCCATGAGGCAAAGACCTCCTTCAGCTCCCGTGGGCACACGCTGCATG